TTAAGCTCAATGCTCTAACCCCAGAGGAGAGCAATGCATCTAATTTTAAATAGGAAACCCTAAACCTAAATTCTAATTACAAATGTACTTCTTGGGTATATTTCTAGATGTTGTGAGCTACAGAAGAGGAATGCTTCTGCCAATTTGTCTATATTATCCCTGGAAATGTTGACTTTCCTTTGACTTAAAGTGCAAAACAAGTTGAAAATCCAGCAGTTATATTCCAATAACTTCAGTAGCAGTCACACTTTAAATATTTGTGTCAAATTAAATATTTTGCTTTAATATTTGCTCTTTGAAATATAACCGTAAAACCTCAAAAATAAATAAAGTAAATAAATAAATAAATAATATTTATTATACATATTTATATACACACACACTGTGCAGCAACAACATTAACACCACTGAATACCATTGATTATATCAGTATATCATTACAATGGCACCTGTAAAGGGGTGGAATATATTAGGCAGCAAGTGAAAGGTCTTTTCTTGAATTTCATGTGTTCGAAGCAGGAAAATTGGGCAAACGAAAAGATCTGAGTGACTTTGACAAGGGTTAAATAATGATGGTTAGAATACTGGGTCATCTCCAAAACAAGAAGTCTTGTGTGGTCTTCCTGGTCTGCAGTGGTCAGTACCTACTAAAAGTGGTGCAAGAAAGGACAGCTGGTGAACTGGCATCATGAACGTCCAAGGCTCATTGATGCACATGGGGCGCAAAGGCTATCCTGTCTTGTCCAACCACAAAGAAGAGCTACTGTCATTCAAACTGATGAAAAACCTAATGCTGCCCATGATAGAAAGGTGTCAAACACACAGTGGATTGCAGTTTTCTGAATATCGGGCCAGTCAGAGCGCCCATGAATGTGTTTGTATGGAGCAGTGGGGCACCGCAAAACCGTCTCACCCATGTCCCTGCAAATTGAAAGTGTGGCCCTGGTATAGAGCAACAATATAAAAGCCAAGTGCCTTGCCTAGACCCAAGGTCGTCTTAACAGCATTATATTCCCCAGGGCAAACCAGTGCACTGGGGCCCTGCCTACTCAACCACACATAGGAATTAAATTTTCAATTATCAATGAAATTAGGTTATATTTATTGGTACCTCCAACAAATCCAATACATACATACAATACAAACACACAGAATGCTGAATACATTCACAGACTGCTGAGTACACACAGACAGACTGCTAAATACACACAGACAAACTGCTACATACACACAGGCAGACTGCAGTGAGGACTTTAGTGTGCGATGGATGCATCGTGTTTAGGTGTCAGTGTGTGTAGGGGGTCAGTGTGTGAGGTGCATAGAGTCTATAGAGTGTGTGAGGGGTGCAGTGTATGTGAGGGGTGCATAGGGTCCATAATGTGTGTGGGGGGTGATAAGGGACTTCTCTCTTCTTCTTCCACAAGCTGAGCGCTATGTGGGAGCATTGCCAAGGTAACGCGCTGCAAAACTTTAAATTGCCTGCTCGCAGGAGGAACTTACAGTCTTCCGGGTCCTCCTTCCTTCCCTCTCTCCTAACAAAGTGCCTTTGAGCCGGTGAGGGAGAAAGCGAGGATGAATCTGTATGGGCTGCCAGGGGAAATGAAAGGATTTCACCTGTTGGCCTTGCCCCCAAGATATCGCGATGGGGCCCCTATGCTCATGGGGCTCAGGGGCAACTGCCCAATGTGCCCATGCAGAAAGATCACCCTGCCTAGACCACAAAGTAACATTATCTTAGCCAAAGACCCTGGCATGCCTCCAGGGTCACCAAAGAATTATCCCTGGGCAGCACAATGTGAGCACACCATCTGTCTGATTCAGAGAGTGCTTCAACAGCACTTCCTGCATGATCATATCAGTAAGGAACAGGCCTACACAGCTGGCTCATTCGGTACCGGGACATTTGGACCTTAGATCCTGTAAATAGATCCTGTTCGTATTAGAGGATTTTGGAGAATTTGGGCAGAAAACATTTTCTTATTTTCTTATTTCAGAATCTATTTTTTTTGGTCTAATTTAAATAAATATATACGGTTGAATTGTCTATAAAATGTGTTACTGAAGGCTGACATTACAGCAGGGATTTTTTGTTTGTTTAATTCATGTGAAACTCAATATCCTATCAGTCAAACTAAAGGAAACAAAATGACCAACTTTTGAATCTAATCCAAGCAAAACTTTGCTTACCGTGGACAGAGCATCTGACCCAGTCCCTGCTAACGGAAGAGCTAAGATTGAGCTTAACCCCTTAAGGACACATAACATGTGTGACATGTCATGATTCCCTTTTATTCCAGAAGTTTGGTCCTTAAGCGGTTAAAGAGACACTATAGTCACCAAAACAACTTTAGCTTAATGAGACAGTTTTGGTGTCTAGATCATGCCCCTAAAGTCTCGCATCTCAATTCTCTGCCATTTAGAAGTTAAATCACTTTTGTTTCTGTCTATGCAGCCCTAGCCACACCTCCCCTGGCTGTGACTGACACAGCCTGCATGAAAAAAAATGGTTTAATTTTCAATCAGATGTTAACTTAGTTTAAACGTTTTTATCTTTTGCTCTGTAAATCTGACTTTAATCACACAGAGGAGGCTCCTGCAGGCTCTAGCAAGCTATTAGTAGTGCAGGAGATAAAACAAATTTAAATCAAACATAATTTGTAATAAAGGAAGTATAAACATTAGATGACTTTTACAGGAAGTACTTAGGAAGGCATTGTACATCACATGCAGGGATGTGTGACTAGGGCTGTATAAACCAAGTGATTTAACTGCTAAATGGAAGAGAATTGAGCAGTGAGACTGCAGGGGCATGATCTATACAGCAAAACTGATTCATTAAGCTAAAGTTGTTTTGGTGACTATAGTGTTCCTTTAAAATTTTTAACAAAATTCTTGGAAATTGTAGGCTACTTACTAATAATGTATTCAACTACATTGTAATTCAGAACAAACTGATTTCTGACCACGTCTGTTGTAGTAGTAGTTTAACCGGCATTCCTAACTCTATAGTTCCACTATCTCTAGTTATATTCAGTCCCCCGCCTGTTTGCCATAAAAAGATTTTTAAAAACGCTTTTTACTTACATTTTTCCAGCGTTAAGACTCCCTTGGTGCTGATGGCCTTTCTTCGATGATGGTCTAATACAGAGGTTCCCAAACCAGTCCTCACACGTCTCAAACAGTCCAGGGTTTAGGTATTACCCAGTTGTGTCTAAGGTTTATTTTTTTATTAAAACACCTTAAACCGGGGCTCAACAAATCCCAGGTGCCAGGACAAAATTCCTAAGATTTGTTGAGCCTGTTCAGCAGAGGCCACTCTGTGAGGGAGCATGGACGCGGCCCGCTGAGGGTGAGTGAGGGAGGGAGGTGTTATCTTCCTACTCTTCTTGATCTGCTCCCTCGCGCTTCCTGCAGTGATGCCAGGATATGATGCCACTCTGGTCCCGGCATCACTAAAAAGCACTCTAGGGAGCAGAGTAAGAAAAGCTTTGCCCCCATGGAAAGGATCCACTCCACCTCTCCCAATAGTATGGAGGCTGGGTGGACTTAAATGGGGAAAAAAATAAAAACAAATTGTGAATGTGTGAGAAAATGTGTGAGTGCATCAGTGAATGTGTGTGTGTGTGTCTGTCAGTGAGTTTGTGTGCATGTGTGTGTCATGCATTCAGACTGGAAGAAAGGAGATTTAGTCTAAGGCAAAGGAAAGGGTTTTTTACAGTAAGAATGATAAGGATGTGGAATTATCTATCTGAAGAGGTGGTTTTATCAGATTTAGTACATATGTTTTAACAGCGACAGGATGAATACTTGTAAAAATCTAATATTCAGGGATATCCATTTTAATTTGTGGAGTAATAGCTTCTTGATCTAAGGAGAGATCTGACCATCATTCTAGGATCAAAAAGGAATTCTTTTGAATCAACAGCAAACGTGAGAAAGGCTGAACTTGATGGATGGATGGATGTCTCTATCTATTCAGCTTTGTATGTAACATTGTCGGTTCTGCAAAACAGCATTGTTTTACTTTGATGGGGCTACTCATACAGGACCACTGCACCTAGACCACTTAATTGAAGTGAAATGGTCTGGGTGACTTTAGTGATCCTTTAAAGACACGTTACTGTGAACATTATTAATGTGGAGCTCTAGCATAAATTAGGATGCAAGCTTCTACAAAAAAAGCATATTAGGATAGAAATGAAGGACAGAAGGATTTTGGTCAAAAACAGGCACTGTCTCTCCTAAATAACCAGTATTGCGAGGTATGCTGCTTTGATTTTACTGCACCCAAAAGCTAAAAACCTTTGGTTCCTCTCCCATACACCCCCAATATAAGTATACAAATTGTTTGCTAACAGTTTGACTTCTTACTTGGGGTCTACTGGGTGCACTCTCTGCCTCTTCGGATCCAGAAGATCTCTTCACGAAGTAAGCCAGAGTGACTACTGATATTGGATGCTCAAGGGCATTTCTTGCACCATTAGCACTACTTTGCATTGTAGTTATGTGGTTATGGTACTCGGATTGTTCCTTTAAAAGTTGTTAGAAACTGACCATGGAATAGCACATGTTAGACCTAGAATATTTGTCCTAATCAACTACAGTGGAACCTCGAAACTCGAACGGTCCCGTTCTTGAACAATTCAGAAGTAAGACAAAAATTTAGAGTAAAAAAATATCTCGGTATGCGAATGATCTTCGGAATCCAAACATACAACTGTATTACTAAAAAACAGTTTACATGGGGTAGGGAGTAGGGATGTGCATGGGCAAAAAATTAGGTTTGGTTCAGCATTCCGAAATTCTGCATTTCGGCAATTTGGGACTTCAGCAATTCGGCACGGCACTTCTGAAATTCGGGACTTTGGCAATTTGATGCGGTTTGGCACTTCTGAAACGCGGGACTTCGAGAATTCGGCACTTCAGCATTTCGGGATTTCGGGTAAGTGTAGGGTTAGGGGTAGGGTTAGGAGTAGGTTTAGGGTTGGGTTAGGGGTAGGGTTAGGAGTAGGGTTAGTGTTGGGTTAGGAGTAGGGTTAGGGGTAGGATTAGGGTTGGGGTAAGAGTATGGTTAGGAGTAGGTTTAGGGTTGGGTTAGGAGTAGGGTTAGTGGTAGTATTAGGAGTAAGGTTATGGTTGGGTTAGGAGTAGGGTTAGGGTTAGGAGTAGGGTTAGGTTGGGAGTAGGGTTAGGGTTGGGTTAGGAGAAGGGTTAGGGTTGGGTTAATAGTAGGGTTATAGTAGGGTTAGGTGTAGGGTTAGGGTTGGGTTAGGAGTAGGGTTAGGATTGGGTTAGTAGTAGGGTTAGTAAATAACAGACAAAAAGTGGGAAAAACACCTAATAAGCATACAAATAAAATAAGTACAACTTGGAAGAATTAATCCAGGGCAGATAAATCTTACTGACGATATATAACAAATCTAGAATAATAATAAAAACATAACATAGCGTAACACAGTATAAATTGTGTTAAATAAATATGGTGCTGGTAGCAAACTCACAAACGTAAGTAGAAAGCAGGCTTCTCACCCCACCTGGGGTTAAATATGGTCTGTAATTGATAGTAGATCCTAATGATGGAAAAGTGTTCAAAGGGATAAAGGAAGAAAACCATACATGGTAAAGTATGTATGTAACTAAAAAACAATTTATTTGAATGCTCTTACAAACAGGTAGATGTAACAGGCATATCTATTTCAATTTAAACATCAAGATAATTTTAATTAAAGAAAAAAAAGTAACAAATTAAAGGTCCCAGATTCATCTGGCCCTCGTTTTGATTACAGGACCAGACATAATTCTTCAAATTCCAATTTAACTTCTAATCGTAAATTTCAAGTTGCTTCTAATTCTAATTATAGTTCTACTTCGAATTATGAACGTCATTCCAATTCTAATTCTTATTTGTATTCTAACTCTACATCTAAGAAAAAAGTCCCCCCTCATCTTCTAATGATATTCAATCTAATTGTGATAATCAAGATATTTTTTTAGACAGAGGGCTAGACCAAAGACCAGAACAAACTTACACGCTTCAAACTCAAAACAGATTTCAAACATTACGATCCCCGATAAAGAAAAGACCACATTCAGAAGTAGAAGATCTAACAATGTCAGCACACCTTCCATACAGACAAAATTAAACAAAACGGAAGGGATTTTCAATTTATCACAGGTTAATCTTACCCCTGACAAACTATCACTCCTTAAAAGAGGACTTAAATTTGCCCCCACATCCAACTCCAATGCCTTCAATTTATATTTGGATAACCAAAAATTTCTAAAAAAATTAACCATTAAAAGATTTTTTCAGAGCAGAAAGGCTTTTAACAATTCTCAAGAAGCCATATCATCCCAAGAAATTTTAGTAAGTAACCCAACATCTATACAGAATTCAAACATTATACAAACACCATTTAAACCAAATTCCCATTTTTTTCCTTGGTCTGCTAAAAGCAAATATTTAGACATTTTTAGTAAATTGGTTCAAGCAGACCCAGACAATTCGATTTCATTTTCAATCCTAACTGTAAAACAGCAACTTTTTACTTCTTACCAAAGATTCATAAAAACCTTTCAAAACCTCCTGGTCGTCCTATCGTTCGTGGCATTAATTCCTTATCTTGTAATCCATCTGAGAATGTAGATTTTTTTCTTTAGCCTTATGTTTCCTTAAGTGATACCTATATCAGAGATACTAGACACATCTTACAAGATGTAATACCAGTCCAATGGAAATCAGCATACATTTTAGCAACTGCAGACATAACAGCCTTATATTCTAATATTCCACATCAAAAAGGTACTTTGACAATAAAGGATACACTCAATTTTCATCAATGTCTTCAATCTGTTCAAACTGATTTTCTTGTGGAATGTATGTCATTTGTTCTCACTAGTAATTTTTTCTGGTTTGATGGAAAGTATTTTTTGCAAAAATGTGGCGTCGCCATGGGTACCAAATTTGCCCCCAGTTTTGCTTACGTATGTTTTCCATTGGAAACAACGTCATGTTAAATTGGGAGCACATTCGGGGGGCAACTTGGTCCTATGGCGGTGCTACATAGATAACGTACTACTAATATGGGAAGGAACCACTGAAAGTTTAAATATTTTTTCGAAGGTACTAATCGCAATGATTATGATCTTAAATTTACCTTTAATGCCAGATCTTTGTCCATATATTTCCTTGATCTTACAATCTATGTAGACCAAAATCAACTGAAAACAAAAACATTTTTTTAAACCTACGGACTGTAATACAGCTATAGATCTGTCTAGTGCCCACCATCCTCCTTGGCTCTCTAATATTCCAGAAAAGCCAACTCATCCGCCTTAAAAGTAACTGTACAGATGACACAATATTTTTACATCAAGCCCAGGCCATTAAAAAAACGATACACAAATATAGGTTACAACAGTGGTAAAATAAATACCGATACACAAATTATACTAGATATGGATAGATCCCAGCTTTTAACTAATAATCATAAAAAACAACAGGATAAGAAAAATCTTTGTACTCTTAACAACAAATTTCAATTTGCATTTATGACTCAGTATAATTCACAAGCGAAACAAATTGAAAAAATTCGTAAAAAATATTGGTACATCCTGGAGAAAGATAATTTACTTAAAGATATTATTCCTAAAATTACAACGGTTATTTTTAAACGAGCCACTAACCTAAAAAACAAATTGGCCCCCAGCCTCCTTTCCCAATATCCTCCACCTACATCCGGTTTATATCTTCAACCTCTACAGGGCTTTTTTTGCTGTGGACATTGTTCCACATGCAAACATCAAAAAAGAAATGGGGCCCATACTAAAAAACTTTATCAAATTAAGAAACATATCCAGTGCTCTTCGACGTTTGTAGTTTATTTACTACAATGCGGGCGTGGAGCCCGATATGTGGGTCGTACACGCGAAAACTTCATATTAGATTATTAGAACACTTTAATAATATTAAAAAAGGCAAACTTGATCATAGTGTGCCTAGACATTGCAGCACCTGTTCTTTTTTCCGCTGAGACAATTTCCAGGCTTTTGGTATAGACCGTATTGTATTAGGCTGTAAGGGGGGTGACAAACTCCAGGAATTAATTCGACAAGAAGCTTTCTGGATATTCAGTCTAAAAACTTTACAGCATGGTCTCAATGCTGAAATAGACCTTCAAGGCCTGATTTAAATAAAATCTCAAGAACTTGGTCTTAATACTTGAATAGACATTTAAGGCCTGATTTAAATAAATCTCTTCTTCCTCCCATACCCTCTACATATGGGTATAATATATTCCGTTTTGTAGCTATGTATTAATCTAGATGGTTCCCATTGTAATGTATTAATTGTGAGATTTAATCATATTTTTTCTACACCGGTGTATGTACTTAAAATACACATGTATACATGCTCGGTATGTATATTCATTTTGTGCACATGTATACCCTCAGTGTGGGAATTTTATTTCCTTTTGTATATGTATTTTTTTATATTTGTTATTTTTTATTTTATATTATATATATTATTATTATTTCACTTTTATTTTTTTTAATTTTTTTAATACTTTATTTATGTGTGAGAGTCTTGTCATATCAATAGCATGCAGTATTTGTTGCACATTAAATACATGAGATAGGTATCAACGTTGTTCATAACACATCTTCGCTTCTCCATTTTTTAGCCAACAATGTAGTGTACCACATATAAAAAAGACGTTTCACTTTTTTTTTTTTTAAACTTGAGTATAAAACCAGCAGTATGCATGAAACAACAAACCTTCTGAGCTAATGAGTTTTCAGTTTCGTGGGTAAAGTAAAGTGTTCAGGTGGGGGATGTGTAGCCCATCCCTTTCTGTATGGTCCTGGGCCAGCCAGGGGTCGCTATATTTTCTTTGTGCAGGAATTCGAGACCCACCACCCTTCCCAATATTGTGAGAAAAAGAAGAAAAGAAGTAGAGAATAAGATAGATGGAGGATGGGGTGGAGGGAAGGAGTTGGATAAAAGAGTGGAGGAAAAGAGGGGTGGGAGAGGGGGGATACGTCAGTTCGGTGTGGTGCGGGGGCGTCTGGTGTCCTGTCCCGTGCAACTGGTTGCTGAGGAGTCCACCTTCTGCTCAAGTCTCAGTTTTAAGACGGGAAAGTTATGTTACGCCAGTGGAAAGATCGCTACTTGTCCAGGGTTCTCACAATTTTTCAAATCTAGTCATGGAACCTCTCACCCTGGCTGTCAAGCTATCCATTAGATATACTTCTTTCAAATTGGATATTACCCGCCGTATGGGAGGCATGTCTACCTTTCGCCATGACTGTGCAAGGGTTCTCCGTGCTGCTAATGATATTTTGTGTACCAATTTCTGTTCCCTATTAGTCCAGTCGTCTAGCGTTCTGTTTAACAGATATGTCCAAGGATTTAGCTTGGGTGCCCTGTGGAAGATCTTTTTGATTAAGTCAGAAACTTTTGTCCAGTAGTTCTGCACTCGTGGGCAGTCCCACCACATATGGAGGTATGTGCCCCTGTGGGGTCGTCTGATGGTGTTTGTTGCATGTGGAAAAGTTTGACCGGGGTGGTGTACCACCTAAACATGGTTTTATAGGATTGCTCCTGGAGGGAGACACATATGGACACTGCATTATTAGCCTCCGATATTTCTCTCCACTCCATCCAGGACCTCTCCTAATTCCCTCTCCCAGGTGTCCGTGTACGTCAGTGTACCCCATTCCTCTGTTTCTGAGCAAATGTGTGCGCAAATCATGGTTATGAGTCCTGATTGTGTGGTTTTGTTTAAACACATTTTCTCATAAAAAGTCATTGGGACCTTCCCTGCCCCTTGTATGTGTGGGTGTCGTATGTAGTCCTGAAGTTGTAGGTACCGAAAAAAGTCCCTGGGAGTGAGATACGCTATCTGTTTTAAATGTTCGAATGTAACTATGCTACTGTTCCTGAACATGTGTAATATTCTCTGTAGACCTGCTTTTTTCAAATTTGCGAATTCCCTAGCCGCCATACCTGGGGGGAGGGCCCTATTTCTCAATAGTGGGGTAAGTGGGGATGAGGAGGATGCTAGCTTGTATTTGGACGCTGACACGTCCCACAGCCTCAGGGAATTTAAGATAGTTGGACAAGTGGTCCTCAGTATTGGCCTGTCTTCCTTGGGCACCCACATGTAGTACTGAGGTAAATCTGGGCCAGTTATGAGGGAATCTAAGTCCACCCATCTCCTTACTTCCAGTGGTGCATGCCACATAGCCACCTGAGATAGCTGTGCAGCTAGATAGTAAAAGTATAGGTGTGGGTGTCCCAGACCTCCCCTCTGCTTTTGTCTTTAGAATATGTTTCGGGAGATCCTATGGTGATGATTTTGCCATACGAAGTCCCTGATAGCTTTTGCAGTGGGGCTAAGTCGGATTTTAAAAGTTTGATGGGTAGTGCTTGAAAAAGGAACAGAATGCGGGGTAATATATTCATTTTTACTTTGTGAATACGCCCGATCCAAGATATAGGCTTATCTAGCCATTTGTCCATATCTTGTATTAGGGTTCGTATAAGTGGGGCATGGTTTAGCTTGAATAGCTTGGCTGGGTCGTAGCTTGGCCGGGTTGTTCGGCAGCTGTATCCCTAAGTACTTTAGGTGGTCTTTTGCTATGGTGATATTATGGGACGCCCGCAACGCCGCCGTGTCCTCCACAGACAGGCCCAACAGGAGGGCACTATATTTTTCCAGGTTATCCCTATAGCTGGAGAATTCTCCGAATCGTGCAAGGATCTCCTGCAGAGCGTCCATGGAATCTTTCGGTTCTGTGATTGTCAACAAGACGTCATCTGCATAGGTAGAGACGATGAACTCCTGTCCTCCCACTGTTATTCTGTGTATACGAGGGTGTTTTTCGCAATGCTTGTAGGAGCGGCTCCAGGGTCAGCACGAACAAAAGTGGGGGCATCCCTGTCGTGTTCCATTTCCCAATTTAAAGGGGTTTGGTCACAGCTCCGGCGATTTTTACTTGTGCATATACTTGGTTGTACATGGCCCTAATCAAGGCCACGTACTTTCCTGGGAATCCCAAAAATTCCAGGAGATGAAAGAGATAGGGCGATTTGACCCTATCGAAAGCTTTTTCCGCATCAGTTGTGACTATTGCAGTTGGGATATCTGTGGTCTTTTGACGCCATATGAGGTCTATGTTCCTCCTGGTGTTCTCGAAAAGCTGTCGATCTGGTATAAAACCCACTTGTGGCGGGTGTATCAGTGTTTTCAGTTGTGGGTTAAGGCGATCTGTCCGGACCTTCGCCAAGATCTTTATGTCATGATTGATTAAGGAGATGGGTCTGTAGTTATCCGGGAGTAGGGGATCTCTACCTGGTTTCGGGAGCAGGATGATGTGGGCTAATGACATTCCGCTCTCCGGCTTCCCACCCTCCATGAAGTCGTTGAACAGCCGTTCTAAGCGGGGTGAGAGTTCTTCTCTAAAGGTTTTGTAGTATGCCCTGTCCAATCCATCTGGTCCTGTAGCATTATTACCTTTAAGCTGTGCTATTGCCCTGTCTATTTCGTCTCCAGTGATGGCTCTGTTCATATGTGTCACAGCTGCCTTCGGGAGTTTAGAAAGGTCTAGGTTGCTTAGAAAGGTGTGCATGTTTATTTCTGCCTCTGCACGTGTAGTAGGATCTCTAGGCATATGGTTATTAAGTGTCTTGTAGTAATCCGTGAATACTTGTGCAATGTCTGACGGGGTGTTTTCGATGGTTCCATCCTTGTGTCTGATTGCAGTGATATGTGTCCTACCTTGTCGTGGACGCAAAATCCTGGCCAGCAGTGTATCCATCTTGTTCGATTTCTCGTAAAAAGGCTTCTTGGACCACATGATAGCTTTGGCGGTGTCGTCTAGGAGTAGTTCTGTAATGGATCGCCTGGTTCCTCACAGTTGTTCCAGAAGCTGTGGGGTAGCAGTCGTCTTGTGTTGTTGTTCCTGTTTTTTTAGCAAGTCTAACAGCGCCTTTAATGCCTTCTTCCGTGTGGCCAATTTTATACATGTGCTGATCACTGCCTTGTGTGCCGCCCAAATAATTCTCGGGGATATATCCTCAGTGTCGTTTGTGGTGAAGTATTCTTGTATATCTTTACGAATTGCCTCATGTGTTTCATGGTTTCTCAGTAGGTGAGGGTCAGTCTCCAGTTCCATGGCGAGGCTGTACACAGGTTCCCTAGGGTGAGGGAAATGTCCGACCACGTTATGGGTCCCACCCTGGCCATGCACACATTTTTTACCAGGAAATGGTCGAACCTGGAGTAGGTCCCATGAATAAAATGTGTAGTCGCGTGCGCCAGGATGTTGGGCCCGCCACGCGTCTATCAGTCCAACATCTTGTATGAATTTTTTTTTTTTTTAAATTCTTTATTTAGTCGTGCGATAATAGAACAATTTTACCTATTCTGCCACAACAGCAGAAGTAGGTTATGAACAAGCATACAATTGCGAGGCATAGGTAAGTATCAACGATTAGACAGCACTTTTTGTAGTATATCAACTGCATTTGATAGGACATGTCGGTGATGAGGTGAGTGCTTTTCGGGTGCAACAGGGCATGTCAGTGCTCACGGGGTGAATCAAAGCTTGTAGTTGCGGGTCTGAGACTAGGTGTTGAGCTAAGAAGGTTTTTATCGTATGTCCATTGTGTCACTATCTCAGGTCCCTGCTCCTAACAAACAATACTCTATACGATCTGCAACTAGGTGTGTCGCTGTTAGGGGTGGTGTCTGTGTATGGTTATGTGACAGGAGGGTCAGGAGTGTATTTACATTCCCTTTGGCTTCACTCTTATGTCTGCGTGTTTCACTAGATCGTTTATGTACCGTTTTGCTATTTGTGCCCCTAACCAAGGGGGCGGCGGGGGGGGAGGGGGGGTTGATAGAGCATCTCTTAATGCTGTCTGAGGTGGGTCTGGGTGCCCTTAAGGAGGGTCCCCGTTGTTAAAGGAGTATAGGTAGAAGACCCTGTCATACAGGTTGGGGATGGTAAGTGTTCTCGGGTATTCAACCTATATACAGATAAACCAACATTCGCATTGCTATTATCTGGGTGAGCCGACTACTTATAGTCTTTTTGTAGTGTCCTTGGTATTGTTTCTTCTCGCCGTGATTGGGTGGGCAAGCGGTGCTTCAAGCCAAGGGAGTGCCATTCTCTAGGTCCCTCTGGCCCTCTGATGTGTCTACAGTTGTCAGTCCCAGCGTTTCAAGAAAAGATGAGGCTTCCGCAAGCGAGGTGAGTGTGAGGGTAGTCCCATTGTGTGTAGTTAAGAGTGAGCCCGGCGCTCCCCACCTGTAGGTGATATTGGCGGTACGTAGTTGTTGGGTCACTGGATGAAGTGATCGGCGCCACTGTAAGGTGGCCCTCGTCAAGTCCTGATAGAAGGTGAGACTAGAGTCTTCAAACATTAGTGGGGTCTTGCCCCGCAGCGCTATCATTATTTGTCCCTTGTCAGAGGAAGATGCACAGCGAAGTATAACATCCCGAGCTGTTTGTGAGGCGGCTCTTAGGGGGCCCGCGACCCGGTATATTCCGTCAATCACCATTTTTCTTGCCGCCGCTGGAGGTAAGATTGTTGCCAGTAGCCTTCTTGTGTAGTGCGGCAGTTCATCAGTGGAGATCTCTGCAGGGATGCCTCGTACCTTGATGTTGTTGCGTCTATGGCTGTTCTCGAGGGCGTTCAGGTGTAAGGCCATATTGTGGTGGGATTTTTGGAGCTGGTGTACCGAGTCTTGCACTTTTGTTAGGTTAGTGGTGACTTCGGCTATATCAGCCTCTGTGGCCTGTACCCGGTCTTTTGTGCTCTGTAACTCTGCTTTTATTCCTGTTAGTTCTTGCGACAGGATTTTGTGAAACTCATGTAGGAGGATTTGTAAGTCATGTTTAGTCGCTGGTGGTGATCCCTCCGGGGGTGCTGGTGGTGCTATATAGAGGTTATTTCTCTCGGTTAGTTCAGCTTGAGCTGTTTGGGTAGGACTAGGCTGATTTTCCTCTGGGGTCTGTTTGGGCCTAGCAGGCCGCTGAAGCATGGCCCCGATGTCTCTACCTTCTATCTGGGTTCCAGCTTTCTGGGAGCGTCGCCCCATGGCGGGCATGAAGTCTCCCGAGGTGGAAGGGGATCCGATGCCCGGGTTACTTGTAGGGCCTTGATAGGCTCCACCGTAGAGCGCCGCTAGGGTAGGCAGTGTGTGCGCGGAGTAGGCCCCGGGCTTGCGCTTCTGCTTCTGCGTCTTTGTTTTCGCAAAGAAGGGCATCTGTCGATGCAGTGCGGGTTCCCAGGTCGGTGTATGTGTTTGGGGTGGTGGGATCAGGCTTGATGGTCAAGATTTAGGCGAGATTTTAGTTTAGATGTCGGAGCTGTCAGAAATGGCGTCTGATCAGCTCGGCAGTTGGCTCCGCCCCCCCATCTTGTATGAATTTGTGGAGCAATTTATCTCGGCTTCCCCTGCCTTGTGACCTGAACTGGCCGACTCTGGAGCTCCTGGAATTATATCAGCGAACATAGTTATTTTTTGTTCCTGATTTCCTGAGTTCACCCCTGTTATGTTATGTTTGTAATTTATCCTTACAACTGAAATGTTGCAATTAATAGTGGGGTTTATTTTGTTTAGGACTTTTTGCCTTTAGGTCAAACGTTGCCAGCTCTCTTTTGACACCAAGTCCAAATGATCACTGGCACAATGAGAATGTGCATGACAAAAACCAATAAAGATCAGTAAAAAAAAAAAAAGAACAAAACATACCAGAAAGGGGGCGTGTCAGTGTTTGTAGAGAGTACGGTGGCCGGTGAGGGACAGAACACCGCGGTTGGCAATACATTGTGAGAGCGCGTGCGCTGCTTCCCAGACGCTGTGTGTCGGGGACAGAGGGCGCGAGCGTCGGGCATCGTTTGTTTTCGGGATCCGTGTCTGAGGAGATACCGGGGGAGAGCCGCCAGGCGGGAGAGGTGTGCGCGGGGATGGTCCGGTGCGCAGCTTCCCAGCACGGCCTGTGAGAGACATGCTGCCCGGGGCCCCGGACCCCCCGGGGTGGTGGAGGAGGCGGCCGGGCCCCGGGCTGTTGTGGCTGCTCTTGCTGTTCGTTGTGCTGGTGCTCCCTGTGGCCGGGAGGCATGGCGGGCCGGAGACCGACACCGAGCCGGGCCTCAACGTTTACATGAGCGAGGAGGAGGTCCGGAGACTGATCGGTGAGTACTGAGCCGGGGAGAGGGGCATCACTGCTAGGGGCCCCCAAGGGCCAGTCACTGCTATGGGGGCCCCCAGGGACCAGTCACTGCTATGGGGGCCCCCAGGGACCAGTCACTGCTATGGGGGCCCCCAGGGACCAGTCACTGCTATGGGGGCCCCCAGGGACCAGTCACTGCTACGGGGCCCCCAGGGACCAGACACCTCTCCCCTTGTTAAGGGAGAGTATCTTTCCCCACACCCAGGTCCATGGACTGTTAATGGAAAGCACCCCCGTCCATTGACTGCTAAGGGAGAGCACCCCCCCAGGTCCATTGACTGCTAAGACTAATGCAGTTAACTTGTTAAAATTAGCTTTATATATTTATCTGTTTGCTGATTTGGCTATTTCACAGATTACATTTGGTCCAGTTATACATACAGTGACACTGGACTTTTTAGGAGTCTTGGCATATATTACATTTGTAAAATGGCTAAATTGAATTAGTTACCAAGACATTTTTGAAAGACTTGTCATGGAATGTGTCATACTTTCTTATTTTCTCATTTCTATGGTGATATAGAGGCAGAACAGCTACTTGCACTTGCTTTGTTAGTATTCATTTAAAAGATAGATTATAAGTATGCATGAAGTTATATCGACCGTTCCCACAGTTTTTGCTATATTGTGCAACATGTGTGGTTTATATTCTTTGTCATAACTGTAAAATGCTTTCCTCAAACATGCGATAATTATGGGAATAAAATACAGCACTGTACGTCTGTAGGAACATTTCTGAACATGGAGTAAAACCGCTTAGATGTTTTCTACATTGCTGTGCAGGAAAGACCTGTAGTTGTCTTTCTCAGAGATCAATAGAAACCACACTTTTTGAAATCATGATCTAAAACATTACTATATATTTTTTTTGTTTTTGATTGTTTTGCGATATATAATATCATGCAAATTAATACATCATTAAGTTAAAAATCTATCAAATGCATTAAAGTTGTATTGGTTCCTTTTGTGTTCCTTTTATTCTCTACATAACTTTCACCTAATAGAGCCTCACTTCTGTTGTTTAAATGGATACTCTAGGCACCATAACCTTTTCATCCCATTGAAATTATTATGGTGCTGGGAATTCCCTGCTGCTTTCCAATGGTTAGTGTTAACCAATTTTAATCGGTTTTACACTGAACTGTAGGATGTAGTGCTTATGGTTGCTGCAGTGTATTTCAATGACTCTCATGATGCAGATATCCACTATTTTGGAGTAGTTTGACCAATAAAAAACAAAACCAAGGTTCTTCCCCGTACTCAGAGACTGACCTCTACTCAGTCTCTTTGATTATGTGAACTTTACACTTTTACATTCAAAAGATATACTAAGTATATTTCCTAAGCTTGACAAAATGCAGATCTACCGCCATCAAGTTTAAGCATTGCCTATAGAGGTTCTTGCGAGGTCGTCCATAGATGTGTTGTAGTCTCGCACATGCACAAGAGTACAACACAGACTTGGGCTCCTGGTGGATAAAACATCACCATGTCTTCAACATGGATGCTGTCCAGGAGGTGGGAGGGCCTGGGAAGGAGGGTCTGCTGGAGATTGGCCGGGATGTGTCAGCTGACCGGAGCTCGCCGCGAACGGTTCGTGACGAACCGTGGTGAGCCGTTCGCGGGAAGTTCGCGAACGGTTCGTGACATCACTAGTAATAAACACTCTCTTTTGGGATGTGAAAGATTTTTTTTTTTTTTGCCTTGTTTGTTTAAACTTTCAAGGGTGTCAATTTATTGGAGCTCTTGCTGTGGTTTGGGTTTTCTGGTTTTTCAAAAATCTGCAGAGGTTTTGGGGAAATTATTTGCAATCTACATACTTAAAAAGACATGCAGTGCCCTAATTTAAAAACTATAGGGTGTTGTATCTGAATAGATGTTAGTAATTGAGTCTAGCATGTATCCTGTGCTCACTTGAAACGAAGCTTAGAGAATCTGGAGGACAGATATTTGTATAAAAACATTTTCCTTGACTTGCTTAGCGAGTTGGCAACAAAAGGCCGTTATAGAGCAAATATAATACAACTGTTAATTATATATATATATATATATATATATATATATATATATTTTTTTTTGTTTTTAATGGAACTGTCACATGTGAGATTTTGCACAGCTATCAACAAGTCAGCTATTGATTGCTAATATATATGCTTCAATTTTATTGCTTTCAATGCTGAGTTGGACACAGCATAATACCCAGGGCGCTACAAATCAAAGGTCGCCATGGCAACTAGGAATTTTGTCTTGGCGCCTGAGATTTTTCAGCCTGTTCCCTCCTCCTCCTGTGTCTCTATCCTTGTGTAGATTTCTGTGCGGCGTTGTACCGGAAAGAAGTGAAGGGGACTGTAATTACTTACTCCTGAGGCCATATAGATGAGTGGCAAGCTGGCAGGGCACCAGGTAAAGTTGGCTCTGCTCGCCACCTACCCCCATTCCGCAGAGCTGGCTGGCCGCCCATTCCCCTGTGCTGCCTTGGCTCCGGGGCAAAGTACTTACAGTTCCCTTCACTTCCTTCTGGCGTACAGAATGCTGTACAGACATATAGATCGACAGGAGGAGGGGGAGTCTGGACCTCTCCCATCAGCCGCAACCAGCCTACTAGCTTAATGTCATCTGCTTCTGTTCAGTCCCACTGGACATCAGGGAAGCCACCCTGCGTCCAAAAGGTAGGAAACAGGAGCATGTGTATGTGTACGTCACCAGCCCCCTACAATCGCATGGGAATATTGTTTTTACTCGCCCTTTTTCCCAACGCCTTTACGGTCTCGGCACAGCTGGCCTGCCTCCTTAGCAGAGATGATCAATTTGATGATCTCAGGCAATCCAATGCTTTCCCATTGGGTAACTATTGAGCGTGTGCAGCACAATTTTGCAACAATCAGGATCTCCTTATAGACATGCATTAAATCATTGTTTAAATTTAAATGCCTGTTGGATAGGCTATAGACACCAGAGCTACTACTTTAAGCTAACTTTTTTTTATCTGGCTTATTGTTTTTAAAGGACCACTCTAGGCACCCAGACCACTTCAGCTTAATGAAGTGGTCTGGGTGCCAGGTCCAGCTAGGGTTAACCCATGTTTTCATAAACATAGCAGTTTCAGAGAAACTGCTATGTTTATGAATGGGTTAAGCCTTCCCCTATTTCCTCTAGTGGCTGTCTCATTGGCAGCCACTAGAGGCGCTTGCGTGCTTCTCACTGTGAAAATCACAGTGAGAGCACGCCAGCGTCCATAGGAAAGCATTGTAAATGCTTTCCTATGAGACCGGCTGAATGCGCGCGCAGCTCTTGCCGCGCGTGCGCATTCAGCCGGCGGGGCGTAACGGAGGCGGAGAGGAGGAGGAGAGCTCTCCGCCCAGCGCTGGAAAAAGGTAAGTTTTTACCCCTTTCCCCTTCCAGAGCCGGGCGGGAGGGGGACCCTGAGGGTGGGGGCACCCTCAGGGCACTATAGTGCCAGGAAAACGAGTATGTTTTCCTGGCACTATAGTGGTCCTTTAAGGTTATATTAGTATTGGCTTTTAACTGAACAGTTAAATGTGATAAATCTGTTAAAGCTACTAATCATTTTGGCTTCCAAAAGGCTGAGTATTTCTAGTCCCTGAGTAATTGCAGTTTTTGTATTGCTTTATATATGAATATTCTGACCCTGAGTACATCTCCTACATCACAATTTTCCATATTTTTTTTTTTTTCACAGTTAAATGTGACTTTTTTTTTTTTGTGCACTTATAATTAGATATTGCTGTTACAAATAAAAATATTCACTGTGAAATTCATGTTGGTTTGGGGGAGAATGAGTATTTTTAACAACGCTTCCTACATACATTTTGAGCCACTCTGCTATAGAATTATTCTAAAATGAATTCTGATTTTTTTTTTTTTTTTTTAAAACAAGCAATAATGAAGTAAGTGACATATTCCTCTCTTGCAACTGTTACTGGTCTAATACTACCCTTACCTTTTGTGTCACTTTACCCCACTCCCTCTAGCATGTAAGCTCATTGAGCAGGGCCCTCAACCCCTCGGTTCCTGTGTCCAACTTGTCTGGTTACAACTACATGTCTGTTCGTTCCACCCACTGTAAAGCGCTACGGAATTTGTTGGCGCTATATTTATATTAATAATAATAATAATAAGTGTCCAGTCCTGCTAGTAATGTTTAATATACACTAAAATGGTATTGCAATGGACTGATTGTAGCACTGAGACCACCTTCATGTGGAGTGCAGGATTTATTACCACAGTACAAATTGTGTGCAAGATGTACGTAATGGAGCTTTATTCTCGTCTTTTGTTCCTGGGCTTTGTAAGTGATTGTGGTGTGCATTAATAGGCCAGGCTTCTGCACAGGCCTGTTTACACAGCAGTATGCTTACAGGCTCATCTGTTCTGACATAATTGACAAGTAAGATTTATGAACCTTTCTTTGTAAACAAGAAAGAAG